GCTCTTAGTCTTTGCTCTTACCGCCTTTGACAGACTGGACGAAGCCCGCCCATGCTATTGAGGGTAACCCGCTGCATTCCAAGTCTACGGATTTAATATTAATCACATCTAAAAAACAGCCTCACAGAAACAGCCAGACTGGTGTTTGAACAAAAACTGAGTACCACAGCTAGCCAAGTTGGCTCATAAAATAAAATGTCACACTCGCTCCTTATTTTACTGGAGTGTTGGCAAAGTTGGAAGAAGCCTGCCCCAGGCTCGCCCTGCCCAGATCCTGTGGACCTGCCCCGGGTCCAGACACAGCCTTCCCTGCCTTCTGGCTCCCCACGGGCCCTGGGCACCAGCCCTCCCTCCTCCAGGCGATGCACTGCAATTTCTCCCATCTTTACGATGAGACCATTTTTCTCCACGGGGCTGTGTCCACTCTGTCACCTTCCTTCTCCTCTAGAAAGTACCCTAGCCCAGGAACTCCACTGTCTGCTCTGCTCAGGGGCCCCTCTACCAGATTCAATGGGCAGTGTCCTTTGCTCACTGGATTCGACCTTGGGGCTGGATTTATCCCCCAACCTCTTTCTCTCCTTGAAACACAGGTGCTCACTTGGATTCCAGGGCTCCAAACCTGCAATTTTCCTTCTCTCTCAAGGCGGTAGCAGCTCTCCCTACCCCCTTCTCTTGCCCTCGTCCTCCCCTTCACTTTCCTCCTCCTACTTCCCCTTCTCTCCCTTCTCCTCCACTAACCCCTTGGGCTCCCAGGGTCCGGGGCTGGCATTTCACAGGGTCTGCCCTCCCTGGGGCTGCTTCTCAAAACACACTCAACCCTCTTGTCCCAACTCCTGCTACACACTGTGACTCCAGATTTCCACCTCCAGCCACAGCTTTCTGTCCCAGAGGGTCATCCCCACTTGTCTCCCGGGTATCTGAAAACCAGCAAGTCCCAAATCCACCAACTCAACCCCAAACCCAGCCCCTTCCTGGAAACCTGCTTCCTTGCATCTGCCATCTCTAGAGGGCCCGTTCAGTCACCCAGTTTCAGCCCCAGTCACAGCCGTTCCTCACTCCTCTAACACCGGCAGCATGCCTTCAACACAGAGCCTGGACTGGGCTACTGTTCACCAGCTGTGCCCCCACCAGCCAACTCCAAGAACCGAGCATCTCCTGCCTGGATCTCTACAGCGATTCCTAACAGGGACTCTGCTTCATCTGTTCTGCACAGTGATCTTGCTAAAATCAAGATTCCGATAGGCCACACTCCTACTTGAAACCCTCTGATGACTATAAAATCCGGTGACCTGGTTCCAGCCTCACCATTCTCTCACTGTTCCTCTGCCCAGCTGAGCAAGCACACGCTGTTTCCTTTGCTGGAATACTCTTCCCACACTCCTCTGCTCAGGGGCCCCCCCACCTGCTCTCCGCTCAAATGTCACCTCCTGACAGAGGCCCTACCTGAACATCCCCAGCACACGCTTCCCCACCATGTTCTATTTCTTTCATGACACCTATCACCAATGGCGTTATATTGCAGAATTGCTGATTTATTATTTGATTCCCCTCCCAGCTCCTTGGATCATTCTTCTATGGTCTCCCCATGGATGGAATCATTGGCACATAGCAAACATTTCATAAAAACAGATATGATTGGCAATATCATATTCATACAAACCGAATACATGCACACACTGGGCATGACGATGGCGCGGTCCTTGAGCAGGATTTACGTGCAGGGTCCTCTTCCCGATGCTTCACCCGTGGCATCTGATACAACCCCACCTCGTCCACTGCGTCCAGAGGCAAACACATTCCCCACGGGCTCCTGTGCCCCCACTCAGCTCTACACCATCCCTCTCCTCTCGTTCACCCGCCACCTTGCTTTGCACCACTCCCCCTTAGGGCCTTTGCTGTCAAGGTGGTCTCCATGTGGGAAAAAGGGACTCTGATCAACTCCTTCATCTCAAATACCACCTTCACAGTAAGGCCTGCCTGCCTGCCCTCCTCTTTAATACCATGACTGTTACCAGCCCCTCCCCAGCACTCCTGACTTCCTGATGCCTCTCCCTTTCCTTTTCTCTCCACTTTCCTTTGTTTCTGTAGCACAGATCAAAGAGAGCAGGTCATGTTACTGATTTTGCTTCCTCCAATAGCCAGTGTGTTCACAGATTACCTGAGCACCTGGAAGGCTGCCTGGCACTCATAAATGCACAGGAGGTACTCGGTATAGGTTTGCTGAATGACAGAAGCTTCGATCCCACACAACCATCAAATGAGGTACACAGCATCATCCCTGTTTTCTGGATGAGGAAACTGAGGCACAGAAAGGTTATGTAGCCCTGAGGTCACCTGGCTAGGAATTGATGGGGCAGGATTTAACCCAGGTGCCTGACTCCAGAACTTTGACTCTTAAGCCCCGTTTTGAGCTAAATGCAGAAGCAGCATAAACAGCCCACTTTGTGCCTCAAAAGGTGAACAGTGAGAGGCACAACTGGGCAGGGACGTGTCAGGTCAGGGGAAGAAACTGAATTGGGTAGTGGGGATTAACTGGATACTGTCTGCCAGCAATTTCTGCCTCCTGCATTTTACCTGCTTTAGGGTTGCAAGGGGCAGAGCTATGAACACAGATGCCCACTCAACAGCCAGTTCCTGGGCCAGTCACAGGGTTGGGAGCTGTGGCACCAGGGCTCTGGAACCCCACAGACTAGGATGTTTGCCAAAGCACCTAAGCCCTACCAGCCTTCCCACTTCCTCTCCTCCATGTCACAGTTCCTGGCTGGTGTTCCTGAGAGCAGGCTGTACATGAGTCCTGTAAATGTCAGTCCAGTTAAGTCAAAGGGGTGGCTCCTCCTTGCACCTGTAGGCTCCAGCTAAGATCTGTGTGGCCCTGCCGGGCATCTGGCTGTCATCTGGGAAACAATCACTGTTCACAAACAAGGGCTTCACTCCTTCGCTTGGTCCATCTCCTGCTAAAGTCAGAATGTGAACATTGACAAACAGCGGCTCCCAGTAACTCTGCTACTCAGAAGTGATTATTCCAGCAGTTCAGAGGAGGAAGTGGTGGTGCCCAGGGCCACGGGATTAGAAGAGTAACAAAGCTAAAGGATCCTGTGCCTCAGTCCAACCACCTTGTCCCCACTTACTCAGCCGGGCCACTTTCTTTGGGGAAACCGATTTCCTTCTGCTTGCCCTTGAAAGGGGATCCTAAGGAAATTGGAGCAACGGGCAGTAGCTACCCTCTGGAAGATGGAGAACCTTCTCCCCTTCTGCGTGGGAGAATCCAATTTCGGTGCAAAGCAGATGGAGAAGGGGCCATGGGAATCAGGCCTGCCCAGGGACCGGGTTCACACTTTCTCTCAAGCTCTGGAGCCTGAAAAATGACCACTCCCCGGGGACGACCCATGTCAGAATTTGGGCTATATTCAGCACAGTGTAGCAGCCAGCAGCCCTGTCTCAGGGTGGGGTCCGGAGGCCCTCATTCCTGCTTGCCCCTCACTGCCACATGACCTTGGGTCAGAGCCCCTCATCCTCTCCCTCCGCCACTGCGCACAGCGGTAACCGTGTTCACTTCTGTGAGCCCCGTGACCCCCACTCAGGGCCAGGACTCACGGCAGACCCCCTGCGCACCCCCCAGGGTCGTCCCGAGGCTCGGAGTGGCCTCCGGCTGCGCGGCCTTTCCTAACGCGGGGACTCCGCACGTGGGCGCCAGGCCCGGAAGGCGCGGGTGCGAGCGCTACCTTTGGCGTCCCGCAGCCACGGGAGGGGCTGGGCGGCCCGGAATTCGGCTGGCGGGGGCTCGCAGGGGGGGTCTGAAATGAGGCGGCCGACGGCGCGCGGGGCCTCCTCCCTCCGCGCCATCCCGCACCCCCAATTCCAGCTTCCATCCCAGCCGCGCCTCCCGGTCTGCCGTTCCGGGCGTCCACCGGCCCGCGTGTCCTGGGGGCGCCGGAGAAGGAGAACAGCGGAGAAAAGAGCCCCGGGCTGACTTTCCGGACCGGCGGGCCCGCGGGGAACACCCGGCGCGGCGACGTGGCTGACCCACAAAGCCCCCGGCCCGGCGGCCAGGCCCAGGCGCGCGCGGAGCTGGGCGGGCCGGGGGTGTCGGATGTCACCCCCAGCGCACACCTCGGCCGGGGGGCGGGGGAGCGAACCACTGAGATGCGAAGACCTCCCCGGTCCTAGAGCGGAGCAGGAAGTGTCCCAGGGGAGGGAGCCGGAGGGCTCCGGCCTTTCCTTTCCTCGGCGTCCGGCGGGCTCCGGCAGCGGCCAGGCCTGCGCCGCCCGCCAACAGGGACGAGCCGCGGCGGTGAGTGCACCCCGGCTCCCGCGGCCGGCCCCGCCCCGCCCTCCTCGGCCCGCGCCCGGCCTCCGCGGCGCCGCCTCCCGGCCCAGAGCCCAGCGCTCAGGAAGGTGCGGGCGGGGGAGAAAGCAACACCATTGTTTTTCAGGCGCCTCCATTTGCCCCCGAGCCGAGCCGCGGCGTTCCGGATGATCGGGAGACGCGGTCTGGACGGGCCGGGAAAGGAGCCGGGCGCCTGCGGAGACGCCGCCTCAGCGAGTACGCCCGGCCGGGCGGGCCGGGAGGATGAGGACGGCTGCCCTGGACTTCCGCCGCCACAGGAGGGCTTTCGGCCGGACGCCGGGAGGGAGCTCCGGGCTGTGAGGTGAGGAGCCCCGGAGCCGGCGAGACGGGAGACCGAGGGCGCGGAGGGCGCGCTCCCCTTTCCCTGGCCCGCAGCGACCTTCTCCTTCCCCTTCTGCCGAGCCGGCTCGGTCCCTCCTCCGCGAACGGCTGGGAGCTCGCTCCGCCCCTGCGGGGCCCTCCTCCGCCTCACTCACGTTAGTTCATTCATCAGGCGTCTCCTCCGAGCCTCCGACGCGCCAGGTGCCGCCGTGACAAAGACGGACGCGGCCGTCTGGTTGGAGACGATCCGAGTGGCAGCCCGGGTGGGCGCCGGTGCTCCGGGGGGGCGGACCTGAGTAGTCCTGGGCGCTGCAGGTGTGTGATGGGCGCCGCAGGGGGCCGCCGAGCAGGGCGGGCGGGGCCCACCCCGGGCTCCAGATGCCGGAGCCGCCCTGGAAGGGAATCCGGTGGTGGGGAGCCCTGTAATGCGTCCAGCCCGACGCCTCCACGGCCCCCATATGCGTTTCTGTATGTGGTGTTACTTTGGAAAGCAAGGAGATTCAGAGCAGTGGGTGTTTCTGGAACCCCTGAGTTGTTTCGTAGCTTTTCTGGCATCACTTGTCTTCCTGTGAAATGGGAGCGAGGCCCGAGTCCCCCTTGTGAGCTGTTGGAGGTTAAGGCGCGGCCACGCTGGACAACCTCCTGCAGATGGAGGAGTGGCAGGCACTGCCGGTCCTAAGGATCACAGAGGCCTGATGGCAGAGAAGGGCACTGTGAGTGTCCCCATGTGCCCTTTCACGGGTCAGTGTTCTAGAGTGGGAGTCATGAACACCAGCCGGGTATACTGGTTGCTGGTCTCTTTTGCCACCCTGTATGTGTCGGCTAGTTGTCTGCACACCAGCGGGGAGGTGTAGGGACCCCTGAGGCCCACCTTGAGGGTGTGGCAGCTGCAGTGTCCAGGGGTTCTTTGAGGGCTGAGCTGTGCCGTGACGGACCCACTCTTCTGTCCTGGCCGAGGAACGGCTTTCGCGGGTGTGCCGTTGCCTTGAATGTGGTTTGAAGAGGTCAAGGATAGACAAGAGGGTGGAGGCGAGGTTGAACGTCAGGCAAGAGTTGGCAGAAGGTTCATAGGAAACCACTGATATTTCTAAATGCAGTGTTATTTGTCCCTCGTGGACTGCATGTGGCTGTCTCATGTGATGTTCCCTGTGTCTGGGTGTTTTCCCCTCCCTCCCGTTGCAGACTCTGTTGGGCAAAGCTGATTCTGGCTGGGGTGTCCATCCAGCACTGAGCACCATCAGCCCTCTGCCACCAGCAGGATGGATTTTCCATTCCTGGATGTGCTTGAAGGCTCATCCGATGCATGGCTGTCTTTGTCTTTCCAGCTCTATTTGTAAAGGTCTGGAGAACAAGAGCAGTGACTTCGGCTCCGGAGCTTCAATATAGTGGCCTGCTTGGCCTGCCCATCTCGGGTCTCTCCAGGAGGACCCAGCCACTTAAGGTACCAGAGAGTCTTGATTACATCTGCATGTGGCGCTGTTGGTTTCCTGGGATGCTCAAAACACCAGTGTCACGTTGAAATGCCACCACTTTCTCCCAGATTTCCTGCCTTGTTCATCCAGTCACCCGCTTATGGGAATCCACACGTAATGGTACTGATGGGGGGAGGGTGTCTTTCTGTCTGTTTCATTCTGTGTGTAAAGACCAGCCACACTGACACTCCCTACCTTTCCCAGGGCTTCTCCAAAGGGCTGGTCTCTGAGGGCATTGACAGTTTCCTTGTCACTGTCCCCCAGAAATGACCACAGGAGACCAGAACACTGAAGCCAGTGATTTCTGTTTGGAAATAGGGTCGTCTTCTGCTGCTGACCCCCATCAAATCCCATCATGCCCACAGCCCTGTGCCCCCGAGTCTTGGCTCCGAAGGAAAGTGAGGAGCCCAGGAAAATGAGGAGCCCACCTGGAGAGAACCCTAGCCCCCAAGGGGAGCTTCCCAGTCCCGAGTCCTCTCGGCGCCTCTTCCGCCGTTTCCGCTACCAGGAGGCGGCGGGCCCCCGGGAGGCCCTGCAACGCCTCTGGGACCTGTGCCGGGGCTGGCTGCGGCCTGAGAGGCACACCAAGGAGCAGATTCTGGAGCTGCTGGTGCTAGAGCAGTTCCTGGCCATCCTGCCCCGGGAGATCCAGAGCTGGGTGCGGGCGCAGGAGCCTGAGAGCGGAGAGCAGGCTGTGGCCGCGGTGGAGGCACTGGAACGGGAGCCCGGGAGACCCTGGCAGTGGGTGAGTAGAAGGGGTGGGGCTGGGACGGGTAGAGATCTGGTGCTTAGACACTTTGACTGGGCCATGCATGCACTGGCGGGGGAATGAGGAATTCCACTGAGAGCCGTGTACTTTGGTTAGGACCATACTAGAGTTTCCTAAGAAAGCCAGTTTTACTCCCTGAAGCCTCTCATTTGGGCATGATGGTGTCATGCCCCTTTACAGCCCAGTCCAAGGCCTAAGTGGAGCCTTTGGTGGGCAGCTGTGGAGTGGATGGTCACCAGGCCCAGGGAGAGATGGGACCTCTTCGCCTAGCTCTGAAAAGCTTTCTCTGGGATTGCAGCTCAAGCACTGTGAAGACCCTGTGGTGATTGATGATGGGGACAGCCCTCTGGACCAGGAGCAGGAGCAGCTGCCGGTAGAGCCCCACAGCGACCTTGCAAAGAGCCAGGATGCCCAGCCCATAGCCCTGGCACAGTGCCTGGGGCTCCCAAGCAGAGCACCAAGCCAGCTCAGCGGGGATCCAGGTATGCAGCCCGGGGAGTAGCAGGAGTGATCTGGGGGAGCGCACACCGCACACTGTACACTGGGATGGTTTTTAAGCTGATGGCTTTTGCATCAGCAGTTTTCTCCTGTCCCCTGAGGGGCTGTGAGCTGTTATCAGGGTCTGAGTCCCTTCCTGGAGCAATTAAACGAGAATCTCATCAGGATGTTTGTTCTCTTCATGGTTCTAGATCCTCTCAGAGCTAACTCTTCTGTAAGTGGGTGTCACTGAGGTGGTGCCCTCTCATCTCTTTGAGGGTGCATCTTTGCAGGATTTGTCAGTTTGATGACAGCTAGGGCCTGCTGCATGAATGGAGCATGGCCATCTCTTGTCTCTTGGAACCTCTGTTTCTTTGGCGAAACAATTCCTATTTACAGGAGCATTGTGATTCTGCAAAAAGATATAAAAATACTTTGGAGAACAGAGGATGGTATCTAGTGTGTGGGACCAGAACATCAGCTAGACATGGTTTGAGTATGTGTATGAAGTACATGGTTGCTACAGAAAAGTAGTTTTGTCGTCAGATAAACTTAGATTTGAATCTTCTGGGTATGACACGAGGCATGCTTCTAAACTCCGAAAGCCTCAGTTTCTTCCTCTGTCCAACAGAGATAGTAATTACCTTTTTTGGGGTTTTTGGACGATTAAATGAGATACAACCTATAAAAGGCTGAGCACAAAGCCAGAGATGCCCAAAACTTCTTTTGTTTTTTTTTTGAGACGGAGTCTCGCTCTGTCACCCAGGCTGGAGTGCAGTGGCGCAATCTCGGCTCACTGCAACCACTACCTTCCAGGTTCAAGCAGTTCTCTCGCCTTAGCCTCCCAATTAGCTGGGTTATAGGCGCTTGCCACCACGCCTGGCTGATTTTTATATTTTTAGTAGAGACGGGGTTTCGCCATGTTGGCCAGGCTGGTCTCGAACTCCTGACCTCAGGTGATCTGCCTGCCTCGGCCTCCCAAAGTGCTGGGATTACAGGCGTGAGCCACCGCGCCTGGCCGCCCAAAACTTTTAAGTACATATCGTGGGAAACCAGTACTCTTGGGTTGAAGGAAGTCTGGCACGTGGGTTCCTCTGGGTGGACTTTCCACAGTGCTCTGTAGGTACAGTGGAAAGAGAGTGTCTAGGCGGCCAGGGGGGCTTTCTTAGGACTCTGGGTGGACTTGCCACAGTGCTGTACAGGTACAGTGGAAAGAAAGTGTCTGGGGGGCCAGGGGGCGTTCTTATGATTTGCAGAAGTTGTGTTGGCCTTATGATAAGCTTTTCAGTAATAAAACCAAAATGCCTATTAAATTTCTCTGTGTGGAAAAACTATAGTGACTTCTGTACAAATCATACAAACTCTTCAGCCTTTTCTTGCTCGTAAGTCAAGATTGGTGTGTCGTTTGCTGCCATAACAAAGTACCAGAGTGGGTGGCTTATGTAACAGAAATGTATTCTCTCACAGTTCAGGAGGCTGGTGTGTTGTTTGCTGCCATAACAAAGTACCACAGAGTGGATGGCTTATGTAACAGAAATATATTCTCTCACAGTTCAGGAGGCTGGAAGTCTGAAGTCAAAGTATCAGCAGCCTTGGGTTCTTCTGAAGCCTCTCTCCTTGGCTCTAGACGTGCCTAATGTTAACACTAAGAGAAGTTTGCAGATAGGCATTTAGAAGGAGCTAGGGGCTGAGCGCAGTGGCTCACGCCTGTAATCCCAACACTTTGGGAGGCTGAGGCGGGCGGATCACCTGAGGTCAGGAGTTTGAGACCAGCCTGGCCAAGATGGTGAAACCCCATCTCTACTAAAAATACAAAATTAGCTGTGTATGGTAGTGGGTGCCTGTAATTCCAGCTTTTTGGGAGACTGAGGCAGGAGAATCACTTGAACCTAGGAGGCGGAGATTGCAGTGAGCTGAGATTACGCCATTGCATTCCAGCCTGGGTAAAAACAGTGAAACTCCGTCTCAAAACAAAAACAAAACAAAACAAAAAAAAAGAAGGAGCTGGGAGGGGAAGTCTCTTATGCCACTGGCTCTCCTTGGGACCCGTAAAAACCTATGAATATCTGGCCCTGAAAGCTGACAACAAGCTTTGTGCCAGGACTCTTGGTGACGGGCAGTTTTCTTTCAGGGAGAGGAAGAGGAAGATGTTTACACTAAGAGAAGTTTGCAGAGCGAGTGTAACAGACACCTTCTCTCTCTGGGTCTCTTACATGGTCTTTCCTTTGTGTGTGTCTGTGCTTTATCTCCTCTTCTTGTAAGTACACCAGTCCTATTGGATTAGGGCCCACCCGTATGACCTGATTTTATCTTAATGACCTCTTTAAAGACCCTGTCTCCAAATACAGTCGCCTTCTGGGGTACCTAAGGATTAGGGCTTCAACATAGGAATTTGAGAGGAGCATAACTTAGCCCGTAACAACAGGCATAAGGGAAGCAGCCAGTCACCCACATAATGCACGTGCAAGTAGCTTGAGTTATGCAGGAAGTGGGGGGCTGTGAGAGGCCTTGTAGTGGGGTCTGGGAAGGCACGTAGGAGGAGGGGAAGAGTTTCAGGAACTACAGCAGCCTGTGCAGTTGCTTCTTGATAAAGTTCTGAGATAAGCCAGCAACCACAGATGGGGTTTAGGAAAACAGGGCCAGCTCTCCCATTTCCATGAGCAATAATCAATAGGCAAAGTAGGTGTGACAAGAGTTAGCAGTCAGGAAAACCTTAACTATTAGGACAATTTATCATTGGAATGCACTACCCGTCATAGCTGTATAGTTCCTCATCTTGAAGATCTTCCCCACAACCTAGGTTCTGTGTAGGGTCTGCAGCTCTCCAAAGTGATTCTCGAAAGGGTCCATGTATTCATTTATCGGGGCCAAAGGTAGGGTGGGGCTACATATTCATATATATATCTGGGATAGCTGCATATCCCAGAAGGTGGCAGGTGTGAGGAAGCAGAACTAAAATACCACCTGCTGGCCAGGCACAGTGGCTCACGCCTATAGTTCCAGCTACTCGGGGCTGAAGCAGAAGCATCGCTTGAGGCCGGGAGTTTGAGACCAGCCTGAGCAACATAGTGAGAACCCACCTCTAAAAAATAAAACATCCCCTCTGGGAGATGTTGGTCAAAGAGTCGAAGTTTCCATTAGATAAGATGAATAAATTCTGGAGATCTATGGTACATCATGGTGATGTTGATTAAAAATAATGCATCTTATACTTGAAAATTGCTAAGAAAGTAAGAAATGTTCTCATCACAAAAATGTATGAGGTGTAGATTTGTTAATTAGCTTAATCATTTCACAATGTATAGTTATCACATTGTACAGTTTTCATACATACAATTTTTGTCAATTATACCTTAATAAAACTGGGAGGTAAAAGGAAGTTAAATAAAGATGAAGATAGAAACTTAAAATAGAACATACACACACAAAAATACCACCTCCTCCAATCTACACCCCTCCAGCCTGAGCTTCCCTTCAGACACAGTGAAGAGGCTGCCTTCCACTGAGACCCCTAGAATGGCGCTGCCATCTGTGTGGGCTCCTGACCCCATCCTTTGTTCCACATAGCCACTCTTGCAGCTGCTGTTTCCTGCAGGCTTTGTGTCCCAGCTCTGAAAGGCCAGGGACACTGACCTCTGGGGTTTGCTTTGATAGTGACTTAACATATGACCTGGGGTTAACCAATAGACTGTAGCACAGCTCTCCAAGTCTTAATCTGAGAAAAGAGTACCGTTGGAAACACAGAGCTCATTTTTACGTGGCTGCCCTGCTGGCAGGGAATGTAGCTCATGGCAGAAGCCTCAACAAGGGGTAGTTTCCAATTTCAGGAGACAAGAGTGGCAGAATCCCTGATAGCCCAAAATAAGGCTGGTGAGATGGTCCCAAAGCCACACTTTACATTTTGTATGAGGGTCTTTAGGGCACTGTGTCAAATGCTCTTTCAGGAGTACCTATGGTGGTAACAGTTTTTCTTCTTTGTTTAATTTCTGTTTTCAAATTGACAAAAAATTGTATGTATTTACGGTGAACAGTGTGAGGTTTTGATATCTATACACACTGTGAACGATTAAATCAAGCTGATTAGCTGGGCATGGTGGCACACCTGTAGTCCCAGCTACTCAGGAGGCTGAGGTGGGAGGATCCCTTGAGCTCAGGAGTTCTGTTCCAGCCTGGGCAACATAGTGAGACCAGTCTCTTAAAAAAAAGTCAAGCTAATTAATATAATGCATTACCTCATACACCTCTCCTTTTTCTGCGTGTGGTGAAAATACTTCAGATCTACCCTCTTCGCAATTTTCAAGCACCCAGTACGTTGTTACTGCCTATAGTCACCATGTTATGCAATAGGACTCCTGAGCTTACTCCTCTCATGTCACTGAAATTTTGTACCCTTTGACCAGTGTCTCCCCAGTCCCCCATTCCCTAGCCTCTGGTAACCAGCATTCTGCTCTCTGCTTCTATGAGTTCAACTGTTTTAGAGTCCACATTTAAGTGAGAACATGGAGTATTTCTCTTTTTGTGTCTGGCTTATTGCTCACAGCATGTCTTTCAAGTTCATCCATGTCATCACAAATGACAGGATTTTCCTTCTTTGTTATGGAGTTGCACAGTAATTCTGATCGCCAATAGCCCTTCCTTTTTTTTCTTCATTTGAGATAGAGCCATGTTCTGTCGCCCAGGCTGGAATGCAGTGGTGTAGCTGTGGCTCACTGCAGCCTCGATCTCTCAGGCTCAAGCAATCCTTCTGTTTCAGCTTACCAGTTTTTTTATTTTTAGTAGAGATGAGGTCTTACTGTGTTGCCCAGACTGGTCTTGAACTCCCGAGCTTAAGCAGTCCTCCCCCTTTGGCTTCCCAAAGAGCTAGGATTAGAGGCATGAGTCACCACATCCAGACCCTAACAGTTTTTATAGATTCCTCAACTCTACGGCTTTTTCTTTTTCTTCTTCTATTTTTTTTTTTCTCTTTTTCTTTTTAAGAGACAAATACTCTCTGTGTTGTCCATACTGGTCTGGAACTCGTGGGCTCAAGTGATTCTCCCACCTTAGTCCCCAGAATAGGAATAGCTGAGATTACAGGCTTGTACCACCACACATGGCTGAACTCCATGGAGTTTTAACCTTTATTTTCCCATAGTTTGGGTAACAATGCTGAGGTCCAGGGACCTACCCGAGGTGAAGGAGTTCATTTAAGTGACCGTGTCATCATGAACCCAGGCACTCTCTGTTATAGCCCCCCTTGTTATATCTGGAAACAAAGTCGCAGCAATCTTTGTGGTTTACAGAGTGGTTTTCATGTGCAGCATTTTGTAATCCTCATTTTACAGGTAGGAACAGAGACTGGGGTTTTATGAAAAGCACCGTGAAACAGCTCCCTGTTGGTGCCTCTCTTGCTACCAAAATGGAAGTGAAGAGCCATGGGAAGCTCAGAAGGTATCAGCACCAGGCCTGGCCCTGGTCCCCTTTGGGACACCATTTTCTGATCTCTTTCAGTTCTGCAAGATGCTTTCCTTCTTCAGGAAGAGAATGTGCGGGACACACAGCAGGTGACCACCCTCCAGCTACCCCCGGTGAGTGGTTTCTACAGGAGTCCTTGATAATCCCGCGTTTGCCTCTGTAGGCTACAGGGCAGTTTTCCTAGGGCCCCAGCCAGCTTTCTGACTGCCACACAGGATGTTCAGCCCAGGCCCAGAAAAGCTAAAATAGGCAGAGCGTGAGCTTAAGAGACGCCCCATTTCTCCTCTTGCCCTGTGGTCCCAGCCGCCGCTCACTGGGTTGACTGTCATCAGGCCACCTTCAGGAAGCTTTGTGCAGACGATAGCAGGAAACAAAGGCCCATGAGTCCCCACTGATGGGCCTCTCAGCGTGTCTAAGTTCCCCTCTTGTGAAAAAGGAGCTCTCTCTGCTCTTTCATTTTACAGAGAATTTTTCAATTTAATAATCATCGCAGCAATGGTTATATTTTAGAAATGTTAGGAAGTGGAGGGAAGAAAGCACAGATAATTTCAGTCCTGTCACAGATCTATATGGTGAGTCATTCCAGAATTTCCTCGAATGTTCTCGTTCGTGTTTTTGTATAAGACTTGCTTACTCGGGCGCTCTGAGGAGTCAGAGTCAGGGCTGGGGGCTGGTCCAGCAGGTGATCTTACTCACCTCTCTCTAGCCCAGTTGCTGCCTTTGACCATGTTTTCTGGCCGTATCTCCTTCACTTTTCCTCCTAATACTTTACACTGGCTGGCATGAGATTGAGTTATGACAGCATCATCCCCTCCCGTGGGAACAGGAGGTGTGGCTCCTGTTTTTGTTTAGTTGCTCCTTACCCAACAGAAGACTGAAAAACAGTAGACACACTATTATCATATCTCAGCAGAATGTCAGAAACTGAGCAGTTTGCTTTCTGCACAGTTCATTTGCCATGACTTTATTATATTTTTATTTTTAGAGACAGTGTCTTGCCTTGTCACTCAGGTTTCAATGCTGTGGCACAGTTGCAGCTCACCGCAACCTCAAACTCCTGAGCTCAAGCCATCCTGCCACCTCGGTCTCCTGAGCAGCTGGGACTACAGGTGCATGCCACTACACCCAGCTAAGTTTTGTATTTTCTTGTAGAGACAGGGTCTCGCTATGTTGCCCAGGCTGGTCTCGAACTCCTGACCTCAAGTGATCCTCCTGCCTCAGCCTCCCAAAGTGTTGGGATTACCGGCATGAGCCACTGTGCGCAGCCGACATGGCTTCAAACTTGGAGAAGGGAGGGCTAGGGATGGGAAGGAGTGAGCCAGGTTACCCAGTTGGGGGCATCTCCATAACTTGCTTTTGCCCCACCAAAGCTGTGACACTCGCCCGTTTACCCTGATGCTCAACACATACATGTCAGCATTTGCTACGTACTGTGACCATTCCCAAACGTGAAGGAGGTAAAACCAGTATTTCTTATTAAAAGTTGCGTCTTTAACCAGTATAACGCACAAGGGGATGCTGTTCATTCGGTACCTATTGAGGTTGGTCTTCATCTTTCAATTCTTGCAGTCCCTGGTAAATGCCGTAGTGAGCACAGTACAGAGATTTCGATAAGTCAGTGTTGTTTTGTTACTCTGATTCCCAGTGCACTAAAGGTTGCCATCGTGAAGATCTTGTTTATAATAGTTTTTTTAATTTCTATTTTTAATTGTGGTAATATACACATAGCATAAAATTTTCCATCTTAACTGTTTTTCAGTATGCAGTTCAGTGGTGTTAAGTACATTTACATTGTTGTACACCCAATCTGTAGAACTTTTTCATCTTCCCAAACCAAAATTCCCTATATGTTAAATAATAACTCCCCTTTTACCCTTTCCTTAGTTCCTGGCAACCTCCGTTCTACTTTCAGTCCCTACTAATTTGACTATAAATACCTGATATAAGTGGAATTGTACACTATTTGCCTTTTCGTGACTGGTTTATTTCACTCAGCATACTGTCCTCAAGGTTCATCTATGTCGTAATGTGTGTCGGAATTCCCTTCCGTTTGTTTTTTTTTTTCTGAGACAGAGTCTTGCTCTGTCACCCAGGCTGGAGTGCAAGTGGCTCGATCTCGGCTCACTGCAATTTCCGCATTCCGGGTTCAAGCAATTCTCCTTCCTCAGCTTCCCGAGTAGCTGGGATTACAGGTACCCACCACCATGCTTGGCTAATTTTTGTATTCTTAGTAGAGACAGGGTTTCACCATGTTAAGTCAGGCTGGTCTTGAACTCTTGACCTCGTGATCCACCCACCTCGGCCTCCCAAAGTGCTGGGATTACAGGCGTGAGCCACTGCACCCGACCATGAATTCCCTTCCTTTTTAAGGCTGAATAATACTCCGATGTGTGTATATATCACATTGTTGATCCATTCATCTGTCGATGGACATTTGCATTGCTTCCACATTTTGGCTGTTGTGAATAATGCTGCTACGAACATGGTACACATGAAGTTTTGTTTTTCTTTTTAAATTAACCTTCTTATTTTTACATAATTATAGATTCACATGCCATTGTAAGAAATAACACAGAGAGATCCTGTGAACTTTTTAAACGCTCAATGGTAAAATATAGAGTAAAAATCTATATTCTATAAATATAGTACAATGTCATAGCCAAGGTATTGACATTGATACATTCAAGATACAGAACAGGTGCTTCACCAGAAGGATATCTCCTGTTACCTAATGTCCACACTCATTTCTTTCCTACCCTCACCCTCTCTTCAACCTCTGGCAACCACTGATCTGTTTTTCAGCTCTATAATGTCGTTTCATTTCAAGAATGTTATATAAATGGATTAGTATGGTATGTAACCTTTGGGGATTGGCTGTTTTCATTCAACGCAATTCTGTGGCGCTTTATTCAGGTTGTTGCGTGTGTTACTAGTCCATTGCTTTTCATTGCTGAGTAGTATTCCATGGCATGGAGGTCCAGCAGTTCATTTAACCATTCACTGGTTGAGGAACATCCAGGTTGTTTTGGGGTCGTTATTGTATAAAGCTGCTCTAAATATTTGTGTGCAGGTTTTTATGTGCACATCAGTCTTCATTTCTCTGGGATAAATGCCTGGGTATGCAATCGTTGGTAAGTACGTGTTTAGTTTTGTAAGAAACTGCTCTTATCTGATATTAATATAGCTTCTCTTCTTTCTTTTGATTACTAATTGCATAATATATTTATTCCATCCTTTTACAGTCAACCTGCTTACATTATTATATTTGAAGTGAGTTACTTTTAAATAGTATATATTTGTTGTTTTGTTTTATTTTGTTTGAGGCGGAGTCTCATGTCATCCAGACTAGAGTACAGTGGCGCAATCTCAGCTCACTGCAACCCCCACCTCCTTGGTTCAAGCAATTCTCTTGCCTCAGCCTCCCGAGTAACTGAGACTACTACCACCAGGCCCGGCTAATTTTTGTGTTTTTAGTAGAGACGGGGTTTCACCATGTTGGCCAGGCTGGTCTTGAACTTCTGACCTCAGGTGATCCACCTGCTTCGTCCTCCCAAAGTGTTGGAATTACAGGTGTGAGCCACTGCACCCGGCCTAGACAGTATATATTTGGATAATGTTTTCTAATCTACTCTGCCATTTACTGTGTTTTAATTGATGTGTGTAGACCATTTGTATTTAATGTCATCACTGACATGTTAGGGCTTAAGACTTTCTATTTTTCTGGCTCTGTTTTTGTTTCTCTGTTTCCTTTTTCCTATTTTTCTGTGGGTTACTTGAACATGTAGAATTCCATTTCGATTTACCTAGTGTGGTGTTGAGTGTATGTATATTTTTGTTTAGCCTTTTTAGTGGTTATTCTAAGTATTACATTATATATACATAACTTATCTACTGAGTATCATTTTATCAGTTTGAGTGAAGTGTAGAAACTTACTTCCTTTCTTCGGGTGCCGTGGCTCATGCCTATAATCCCAGCACTTTGAGAGGTCAAGGTGGGAGGATTGCTTGAGCCCAGGATTTTGAGACCAGCCTGGACAACATAGCGAGACCTTGTCTCTACAAATAATAATTCTAAAAAATTGGCTGGGAAAGGTGGTGTGCTCCTATAGTGCCAGCTTCTTGGGAAGCTGAGGCAGAGGATTGCTCGAGCCCAGGAGGTTGAGGCTGCATAGTGAGCTGTGATTGTATCACTGCACTCCAGCTCAGGTGACAGAGTGAGACCCCATCAGAAAAAAAAAAGAAAAAGAAAAAGAAAGAAAGAAATATAATATGCCTCCTTTTACATACCCTCACCCTTCTTCCCCTGTTATAATGCAGTGTGTTAAATATTTCCTCTACGTACATTGAGAACCACATCACAGAGTGTTGTAATTTGTGCTTCAACTGTCAAACATTATTCAGAAAACTCAAAAGGAAAAAGAAACCCTATTTGTTACCCATACTTTGGCTTACTGTTTTCTTTCTTCTTAGGTTTCAAGGTTCCTTCTTTTTGTTTAGAGTGTTTCTTTAGCCGTTCTCTTAAAATAGATCTGCTGGTGATGGACTTACCTATTTTTTCCTCATCTTAGTGGGTCTTCATTTCCCCATCATTCCTGAAGGATGTTTTCACCAGATGAAAGATTCACAGTTGACAGTTTTCTTTCAGCACTTGAAAAATACTGTGTTATTTCCTTCTGGCCTCTATGGCTTTTGATGAGAAATCTGCTGTCATTCAAAAATTTTTTCCCTATAAGGAAGGTATTATTTTACTCTGACTAAGATTTTTTTCTTTTTTTTGCCTTCAGTTTTCAGAAGTTAAATTATGCTGGGTCTTGTTATGGATTTCTTTAGATTAACCTGTTTAGAGTTTGCTCAGCTTTTTTTTTTTTAATACTTTTTTTTTTTTTTTTTTCGAGACAGAGTCTTGCTCTGTCACCCAGGCTGGAGTGCAGTGGTACAATCTCGGCTCACTGCAACTTCTGCCTCCCTGGTTCAAGTGATTCTCCTGCCTCAGCCTCCCAAGTAGCTGGGACTACAGGCGTGTGCCACCATGCCTGGCTCTAATTTTTTGTATTTTTAGTAGAGACGGGGTTTCACCATGTTCGCCAGGATGGTTTCGAACTTCTGACCTCAG